GGCCACCCCCCCCCCCCCACCCCCACAAAAAAAAAAAATCAAAGAAAAAGATTTTATTTTGTTAATAGTATGTAGTATATGAGATAGCTCAAAATAACCCTTCATACCAAATTAACTGTGTAATATTCAGTGGAGTACACCACAAGCTCCATTATCATGACTTCCAAAAAAAATATGCTTTGTTTTTCAAACCCAAGTCAGTAGAGAAGCTCAGGTTCGCAACCTCCGCCTTTAACCTTTCCAAACAACGTCAAAGAAAATCTACTCAGGTATTTAGGTTTTTCTCAATTTAATTTTTTTGGGGAATGGGATTATTTGATATTGTTCTAACTTTCTAGACTGTTTCTAAATTAAGTATTTAGGTTTTGTTAAGGAATATATTATGAAGATCTATAATGTTATAGTTATATTAGGAATAATATTTTAGGAGTCTAAACTATAGATTTGGTGATTGAGAGTTATTAGAAATGTGACTAAGAGAATAATCGTAATTAGGTAATTGTGTTTAGTCGCACGTTGACAACACAATAAACTTGTTATTGTATCCCTATATAAAGGGGAGTAGTTGTAGCTTTTGATGATATGAACGAAAATCTACAATATTTTATTGTTTAACAGATTTGTTTCTCAAAAAGTAGGCATTTATTATGGGAAACTGTAATTTTGAAATGCAATTAGAAGATTAGTTTTTGTGAAAATTGTATTGTTTATATAATGTTTCTCAATTACTTATTTAGATTATGAAGTTACCCATTTTAATGCAATTTCATGAAAAATGTAATTTCTTATTTAATTCTATAATTTTTCATCTTGGTTTCTTTCTTACATCCCGGTATACTTTATACAGTATTATATGAATCATATGGGGTATAATTATATTAAAAGAGTCTCTTAATAAATCAAGAGAATAATGAGTATCTTTGTCCTATGAGGGACTTTTTTCATATGACAATGATGTGATTGATCTCGACCAAGTGAATAAATAAAAGAAAATACCTCATAGCAACACTGACTGAGATTGAGCCACCAAGAAAATACCTCATAGCAACACTTACTGAGATTGAGACACATCATTGCATATGAGAGAAACCCCTCACGTGACATATGATACCCATTTACCTCGTAAGTAAATTCATTTATGTAACACAATTATTGAAATAAAATTTCATATTGTCATGAAAATTTCGAGTGAATGAAATGATTTAATTAATAATATACTTGACTTTATTTGCTCATCCGTG